ACATTCTGAGACGTGACCTTTTTTGCCAAAAACGACATGCTATAGTATGACTTTTCTTTTCAGGCCAAAACACAAAATGTGTCATTTTTCATGAAATACTTTCCTCAGGTGTTTTCTACCACATGCATTACACTATTTGCACTGTATACTACATCCTGACATGTTTTCACGACTACCTGAGACGTGACCTTTTTTGCCAAAAACGACATGCTATAGTATGACTTTTTTTTCAGGCCAAAACACAAACTGTGCAATTTTTCAGGAAATACTTTCCTGACATGTTTTCTACCACATGCATTACACTATTTGCACTATATCAGGGGTGTCGACATCCGGTCCTGGAGGGCCACAATCCTGCATGTTTTACATGTGTCCTTCTTCCAACACAACTGATTCAAATGATCAGGATGGTTATCAGGCTTCTGCAGAGCTTGATGATGAGCTGATCATTTGAATCAGGTGTGTTGGAAGAAGGAAACATCTAAAACATGCAGGACTGTGGCCCTCGAGGACCGGATGTCAACACCCCTGAACTACAGGAACCAACTTTGTTAACGAGTTGAAATGATTAAAGATCCTAAAGCACCTCAAATTCACAGTTTAGAGCCTCAGGAAGTCTCAAGTACCTGGATTCTTTGGTCAGTAAGAAATCAATCAAGATAAACTTTGATTTTCATGGTATGCTCACAGAAAAAGGTGCAGCTGGAGCAGTGAAACCAGCCCAGCTGGTCGGGCTGCAGACTATTTATGATTCCGTATCACACTGAGACACAAGGACAGCTGAATAAGCATCTGAAGGTGTTGATTTGAAGGCCTTGTTCGCCGCAGACAGCCTAAATCTGTGGCAGTGGTGACTCGCCGACGCCTCAGTGTAAAGACTTTTGCCTTCACGGAGATCAGACGTTGGTTTGGAGGTGGCTTAACTGTTTAGATGTTTGACATGTGGCGTGCATGTCCACCAGACGGATACAGACAGAGAGGTAGTTCTGTACGAGGAGACAGAAAGTGGTGTCAGTTGTAAGGCTGGTGTCTAAATAAAGGATCACCTTCAACCTTAGGAAGCGCACACGCCCAGCTGCCACATTAGCACCAGTGACGGAGTGTGCTGCGTTTACAGCGCACAAAACCAACACACGGCCCAAGAGATCACGAAAAAACACCGTTTTTAACCATTTTTAGGTTCTGCTGACTGTAAAATAAGTTTTTTGATCCGTTTTCTGATGCAGTTTGTGATCATGTTCCAGCTGTCGTTCCAAACTGAACCACACATCATATTTACAAGTCAGTTAAAGATTCTCCATTTAGTTCACATAAGCTCAGCGCTAACCCGGGGTCATGTTTGGTTATGTTTGGCTCTCTGCCCTCAGGCAAACAGGCAAAAGGTAGCTGAACCGGGGTTTTGAAACACAAAAAGACGACAGAAATGAGGAGAATTACAGCCGAGTCCCGCTGACCCCGTTTGAAGTGGGGCAACGAGTCCCCGAGGCCGCTTGGTGGAAGAGCGCCGGGTCATTCCTGCAAAGGTTCGATCCTGAGGGGAGGCTGCCATAAGTAGTCACTTTGGATCCAAATGTGGAAGCTCAGAGGAGATCAGCTTTCACAGGCAGCTCCACTTACATGTCAAATGGCCACAGTCAGCCATGGATGGTGCTGGATCTGCAAACGACCACAGTTTGTTTCATCCTCGTTTTGAAAGGCTTATAATTACATTCTAATCACTTGTTTAACTGTAAACTACATTGTATAATTCATCCTACTTTCACCCAACCGGTGGAGGCAGATGGCCGTCCCTCCCTGAGCCTGGTTCTGTCCGAGGTTTTTTCCCCTGTGGGGGTTTTTGGTTCCGTCCCACCAGCAGACTGCTGAAGCTTATAGAGAATCCAGATGTTTGGATTGTTGGGTGTTTCTGCCTTTGTGAAGCGCTATGAGATGACTGTTGTTGTAAATATGCGCTATACAAATAAAACGGAATTGAATTGAATTGAATACTTGGTTTAATTTCTCCAAAGGCCCTTTTTCTCATTTAATTGTGTGTCTTTGTGAATATTTATTGTTTCTGGTGCTTTGCGAGGAATGAATGTGCATGACTGACTTCTACATTTTGCTGGGCCGCCAATGAAACATTCACATCCAATTAAAAGATGAATGTAATGCATCTTCCCTTCTGCTAGTTTCATCCTCTCAGATGACCTCACAAAGCCTTTGCAGCTCTCTGCAGTGCAGATGAATCATTTACAGGACTGGCAAAAAAAAAAAGAAAGTGCATTTCTTCTTATGTATGTTTAAGCATGTAGCATTCACCGTGCGGTTCCTGGACGGGAAAAGATGAAGAGCCCTTCTTCTGAGAGGCAGCAGAGTCACCTTCAGCACTGAGCAGAGCTGACAAGCCGGCATGAAAACACACCTGCTAACGATGCTTTCCCTGCGTGAGCCACCTCTGTGCCAGCTGGACTCGAAACAAGGTCGCCGTCTGGACTCTTGGTTTGAGTAATTCTAAATTTAAACAAAGAATTCGGTTGGTTTCAGTGCATCACCTCACAAGAACCCACAAGTGTGTCTGTTCGTCTGTCGCAACAATCGTGAATGATTTACGGGAATCTGGACGGCAAAGCAACACGGCAGTGCTTGGTTTGAAAACAGTGTGGAAACCTGCAGATGGAGTCACATTCAACAGCATCTTATTGTAGCAGAGCTTTAAAAGCATTCAGCAAAGTCAGAAACAGACGTCACTGATGCAAAAGTTCTTCATGTCCAAAAAAATGCAGATTTTCAAATGATGCGACTGATAAAAAAAAAAGGTTCACTTTGGTGCATCAGTCTGACAAAAGCGACCACTGAATATGAAATGTGACATAATCTATGAACCAACACATCTTAGAAACACAGCAACTGACTTGAAAGATTAGTTTATTCCACTTTTTGTCATCACATTCAGGAGAAGCATCATCATCACAGTTTGCATATTGAGATACGAGGATACAGTCTGACACACAGAGACTGTATATTCTAGTTTATTTTTCTTCAGAACTAAAAACTGACCCAAAACCATCATTTCTGACAAAAGTGAACACGCCGTGAATCATCCATTAAAGTTGTCGTGACACAAAGACGATGATGCCCACCAAAGACACATTTCGATGCATTACAGCACATTAATAGAAAAATCACATTTAAAAAGGCACATTTATAGAACGACGGCGGGACAATCTGGCATGCACAGAGTCCCACGAGATTAAAAGCAGCATCGGAGTTACAACAATATCACAGTTTAGTGGCAAATACATGAGTGTAGCTGACAGAACAGCAGTCAGACAGTTTACAGAACAATTATTGCTCAATTTATTGCTGTAGTAAAAGTGAACTATGTGCATTAACTCTCAGAGATTGTTGGACGTATTTAAGCAGCATATGGACAGTATCATAAAAGTTTTGTTTGTACAAATTAAACACTTGCATGAAAATCACCCGCTTTTAAAGAGGTGCAGTTTGCATAATCAGAGATATTGCTGCATAAAAAAAGGAAGACATTGAACGGGATGTTTCTGTCTTTTGATGAATCGCTGGTTAGTAGGCAGTCCGTAAAAAAAGGTTCCATCAGAGGATTATTTCATGTCTGTTACAAGCTGTTGGGAATTCAGGTTTCATCAATGCACCGTTTCTAGCTTTAAACTGGGCTCAACGTGGTTAAAAGTTGTTCGTTTCCCTCCGTGCAGACATCAACATTACGACCAGAGCTTCCCAAAAATCATAACCCTGAAGGAAATTTCCCAAAAGTCCATTTTCAGTGACCAAAAAACAGCATGTGGACAAAAGACCAAGATGCAAAGATAAAGCTAAAAAACATAATGTGTGGACCAGACCTTGGTGAAGAAAACATACAGTGGTGACAAAGCCCATGACAGGTGCTGCTAACCCAGGTGACACTCCAACTTCTTGTTTTTCCATTTTCAGTTAAACAGAGCAGTAAACCTCACGTATCAATAACAGCTGATTTTTACATGTTTCTGCCTTAACAACTATCAAAAGTAACACTAATCCATACGCAACCTGGACACATACAAACCGTTTCTTTCAACCAAATTTAACCCCGTTTTAACACCAGATCTCTTGATGTCTGTTGACCTCTAAATTAACCAGATCAGTCGTTGGCAGAACATGCTGATGAACAAATAAACTCGCCTTAACCTGGTCCAGCATCCAGTCCCAAAGCTCACTCTCAATCTCCTACAAGATTCCCCACCACTTGTGCACCAGCAGGTCGTCTCCGCTGCCTGTATCCAGGAGGCGGTTGCCGCACTCCTCCCAGCGACATACGTTACCCCTGTCCACCACCACGAACTTCCACTCCACATAGCTCTCTGCAGGCAGGCTGACCACAGTGGACCAGTGCCCATCCTTGGCTTCCTCTAAGGGGATGAACTCCTTCCAGTTTCCCAGTTCCTGCTGGTTCCCTGTGATAGCCACCTTCTGGTACTGAGAGTGGGTGTGATAGTGGATGCGGAAGGTCACACTGACGTTCTGGGGCATTGGCTGGACCGCCACAACCTTTTTGCTATTTTCATCGACAGGGGGAAGCGTGTTGGTTTGAGTGACTTTAATGGAAGGAAGCAGGATAACTGTATCTATACAAGGAGCCTCTGCAGGAGACGAGCTGTGGTGCTGTTCTGCATCGGGAACTGGGTCCGGTTTTGTGTGGCTTTGGGCAAAAGATGGGACAGAAAGGTTCATCCAAGGAAGAACTTGGTAGCTACCCTCTGTGATCCATTCATTATTGTCCATAGTTGCCTCCATAATACTGATTTCAGTTCTTTCATTGTCGTCTTCTTCCTCCTCCTCCTCCTCCTCTTTTGCTCCTTCCTTCTTCTTCTTAGTTTTGACAACTTTTACGTCTGTCTCCTTTTTCTTGTCATCAGGTGTGACACTGGTTGCAATCTGCACCATCAACTGGTCCATCGCTCTGTTGTAACGATCCTCAATCTCACAGCCAAACGTGTCTTCATTGGATAAAAAAGACTCGTCATTAGCCCTGTCTGTAGGTTCACTGTGGGGTTGCTGGGAAAGATGTGATGGACAAGACTCTGTCACCACACCCGCTGCATCTTCATTAACGACAGACAGAGCAACATCATCAACAAAGCGGTCGGTCTGGGCCTTGGTCTGTACTTCAGACTGTTGATCGTAGTGCATTACCGGAAGCTCCACATTTTCAGGGCTCAAATGACACTTACTGGCAGGATCTTCCAAATCAGGGCTGACGGTCATGCTTGAAATCCCGCTCTCTCCACCAAGACCAGAAGATGACCAAGTCAGCTCACTTTGCTCAAAAGCAGGAAGCTGCATTTCACAAATGGGAGGTTTATTGCTCTCGGTTATAATCGGAGCAGCACTAGCGGTAAGCTCTGGGAAATCTGGATTACTTTGCATTTGGTCATTTGGTCTGTCTTGGAAGGAAGATGGCAAGTCAAGATGAGATATTTCTGTAGACGTGACGGGTGGACTAACGCTCGCCTCATCACACAGGGCTGCAGCAGCAGCAGGATCAGCTCCCATCCTGTCCAGTGATTCATCACTTCCTGTCCGGTCACTTTGTAGGTCTTTGTAGCATGAGGATAGAACATGGTCAACAAGTTCCTCAGCCAACAACACAGCTGCGTCGGTTTCATTCTTGTTGCTCTGAATTTCTTCCATAATAGGTGTCAATGCAAAGCTGAGAGTATTAGGATCTGAGTTTGTATCCAAAGCAGCTGCAGTTTCATCTTCTTCCACATGTGACTGTTGATAATCTAATGACAACTCAGGGAGCTCTACGGCTGGGATTTCAGCTTTTGCATCAGCTGTCGTACCACACAGACCATCATCACCAATGTCAAACTCTTCTGGCAGAGCAGGGGCAAGTGCCACACCTGAACCATCACAAGAAGCCAGCGTTTCACGTTTCACAACACCTTCCTCTTGATTGCAGGTTACACCATTTTTTGGCTCAGTTTGCAGTTGCTGCTGTAGTGTGTGGACTTCGAATCTGACATGTGCAAGATTGTTCAAATGGTCTTCATGTATAGCTTCTTCAGTTGCTTCAGCAGCTGGACTATGTTCATCATTCTGATCACTGTCCTGACTGGGCCGCACCACCTCTGCCATCACATCACCACATCGGCCCAGCTGAGAAGACGGCACACTTGGTTCTTGGTCAACACTTTCTTCAGCCAACACCACAACACTTCCAGTTTCATTCTTTTCACTCTGAACTTCCTCCTTAAAAGATGTCAAGTCAGAGGCAGGAACATCAAGCTCTGTGTCTTTATCCAGCACTGGGGAGATTTCTTCTTCTGTCACCTCCCTTTGCTGCCGTTGGTAATCTGATGGCAAGTCGGGGAAATCCCCAGTGCCTGAGTTTTGAGCGTTTGCATCAGTTGTTGTACCACACAGAGCATCTTCCACCTTTTCTGGCTGGTTCAGAGCGGCCAGAGGAGCAGCGAGTACCATATTTGAACCATCACGCAGCATTTCACTTTTCCCAACATCGTCTTCTTCATCGCATGCAAGACCTTTTTCACTTTCTGGTTCAGTCTGCCGTTGTTGCTGTAGTGGGTGGGCATCAAATACAATGTCTGCGAGATTGCTCAAAATGTCTTCATGCAGCTTTTCTTGAATCACTTCACTGGTTTGGCCACATTCGCCATCTCGATCACCATCCTGACTGGACAGAACCACCTCCTCCGCCACATCATCACACAGCTCCTCCTGGGAAGACGGCAGTCTTGTTTCTTGTTCTGATGTCGAGTATACAACCTCGGATTCTTGAGCGATCCCTTGGTCATCTACTAAAGCCTTTTCTACCTCCCCATGTTTTAGTTCTTCCTCTGGACAGAGGCGATCATTGCCATCATAATTAGAGTGAGCAATATCTTCTGGATTCTCTTCCTCAAACTCTGCATCTTTGCTAGAACAGGTGCAGGAAACGAGTACATCCTGGAGATGGACGCCTGGTTGGGGCTCCGTGTTGTTTGTGTCTGGTGTGGCTTCATCATCTGGCTCTTTGTTTGCACTCATAGGAGTTGTCTGTTCGCAGCACACTGGGCTCTCCAAGACACACTGGAGGCTTTCCTCCTCTTGACTGGTTTTCTCATCGTAAACGTCCGTATCTGCAGTCGCATTCTCACCTTCCTGCCGCTGTGCTGGCAACACCTAGACGCATAAAAAGAAAGTTCATATCTTTAAGTAGGACTCTGAGTCAGACAGTGGATGAAAATGCACTATAGGCAGAATATAAGTAGCCATGGACACGGTGGAGCAGCGTCGACTCAAATCACAGAGAATGAAAATGGATAAGTCGGTGAGACAGACCCAGGCTACCTGGTTTCCCCATTTCCAGTCTAAGCTAAGCTAACCCTGTCCTGAGTGCTGCCTGAAGATCCCCGCTGGTGAAAACAAAGCTTCATATGTTTTTTTCACCACGGTAATATGGTGTTTTCATACACTAGAAAACATATCATAAATGAAATAAGAACTTCCACCTGGACACTACAGCAACCAACGACGGTCTCAAAAACACAGAGTCAGAACCGGTCCTGTCAGCTGCAGAGCTGGGCTTTTCCTCTCCTTGTTCTTCTTGTGCGAATAAATTACTTCAACTTTACAGCTTGCAACTGTCCAGAGAACCGTAGTTTTATAGTGTTTGAGCAGAGTTGTAGGTGAGCTGGTGTGCTTGAGTGACAACAAGCAGGGAGTAGTAAAGATGAGTTTTCTTAATGATCAGAGAGGAACTTTAATGCTCAGCTTATAGGCTTGAGACCGGCATCCAGCTCTACATGTAGCAGCCTCAGAGTAAGAAAACAAGTAAAGTTCAAGAAGAACTTCACAACAAGCACATCCAATAGACCAGGAGCATCATTAGCATCTACTACAGCCATGTGTGAGTTCAGTCTAACCTCCGTTTTATCTCCAGGCTGTTGTTGGACATTAAGCTGTGAGTAATTGTTATGGTTCAGAACTCTACATTCAAAGTCCTGAGATAGCTGACGTGTTTCAGTGTCATCTGAAGCAGCTTCTGTTCAGTGTGTCAAGCTTCCAAAGCTTTCTTTGGTTTTAACAGCTGCTTGTTTTTTAGGAGCAGTGAGATAAACCCGAAACAATAAACATCCGTGACTGGAGCTTTAAAGTTCAAACTGTGCATAACTATTGCATTTAGTGTAAAAAAAAAATAAATAAAATATAGATTGTAGTCGAGTTCAAATGTTGTAGCTGATAAACCACAAACAAAACTGAACTGAACCAGTTCAAGTACGGCGTCTGTACCTCCCAGGTCCTCTGACGTCTGTCTGACTGGCTTTCATTTGAATCCTCTGAAACGTCTGCTTACCTTCTCTTCCTCTCTGCCATCGTAAACCAGCTCAGGCTTCAAGCTGCCTTCGTCACCATCACGCTCCTCTTCAGCCACCGTGTGAGCATCCCTCCTCTGATTGGCCTCTTCTGCTTCATAAAAGTCCTGCACAGCCGAAGCGTCCTTCTGCTTCGTGTCCACCAGCGAGTCACTCTGAGGTGGAGCGTCTGGTGACGGTTTCTTCTCAGCAGCAGCTCGGCGATGCCTGATGTTAAGATCAGCGTTCTCCGTCGCATCTGATGAGCCTTCGTCACTCACATCTACAACAAGACAGAAAAAATACTTGAAATATTTTAACCACATGCTATTCAGTAATATAAATGGCAAAATAATACGTTCGGATTTGAGTACTTTAGAGATTCTGCTCTTTTATTCTGTCTGATTGTACGCTGTGTGACCCACAAAGCGTTTCATATCTTGTAGAGGAGAAGAGATTACGTTGGCTCCTTAAAATAAATATGAAAAGCCATTTCCTTCATGGAGTTTTACTGGTTTCTAAGGAGAGTTTGCAGCAAGTTTGCACTTTATTCGTCTTCTCAACCTTTGTGCCTTTGCATGGAATGGCACACTTAATCAAACAAACGCTAATCAGTGCAATCAGCAGCTGTAATGCTCTGTTGTTTCTGTCTCCTGCACCACAGACCGATCTGACCTGTTCACAAGCTCTCTGGCACAACATTGTTGGTCACTTTTAGCTCAGTGTCGAACACAAGGAGCAACAATCTGCAGCTCATGTGTAGACGGAGGTTTCAGTCTGCAGAACTCTACTGACGTAGCCCATGAACCTTTTATTTAAGTGGTATTCAAGCTGTTTCTTAAAGACCAAAAAAGCTTTCCCATCATTCAGCTGCAGAAGATGCATCGAGATCCTGAAGTTCAATCGAGTTTCAATTCAATTTATCGCAGCATTTCACAGCTCTTACAGTGCGATAAAGACCACATGATGTACATTAATAAAAACATGGAAATGCAACAAATCCAGAGTAACAGCAGCAGCACTGCTGACAGGATCCACTACGAGCTGTGCATCCACAATACGACCAGTATGAAAAGCCAAAGAACAGCTCAGAGAGCAGGACTGTCCCTGTGACTGCTCGCTCACATGAGCAGACCGTGGCATTCATGTTCAAGTTGCTTTTTCTCTTAGTTAGAGAATAAAAGCTTCATCTGCAAAGCACTCAGGTCCCTAAAACGCCACATCAGTGTGGTCAAAGTAAAAGGCAGCAGCAGAGGGAATGCATGTCTGCGTTTGGGAACAGCACCATTGTTTCAATGTCTATTTTGGTTAAAGGTCAGATTTTACTAATGAATCAGAGATAATGACACCTGCAGTTCACTCTATGTGATATTTAGCAGCAATGCAGGATATGTGGGTTCCCTCTGACGCCTCACTGCCTCCTCACGGTGCTGCATTTCTCTGAGGTCTGCCATGAAACCCCGCAGCCTGCAGACCAGCTCCTCAACCCGCAGACCAGCTCCTCAACCCGCAACCCACAGACCAGCTCCTCAACCCGCAGACCAGCTCCTCAACCCGCAACCCACAGACCAGCTCCTCAACCCGCAGACCAGCTCCTCAACCCACAGACCAGCTCCTCAACCCGCAGCCTGCAGACCAGCTCCTCAACCAGCAGACCAGCAGACCAGGTCCTCAACCCGCAGACCAGCTCCTCAACCCGCATCCACCATCTACCCTCACAGCAGCCTTCCTGTAATGTGACTTCCAGCAACCTGCAGCCTCTCACCTGACGTCCTGATTTGTTTCTGTACCTGTTGACTCCGCGGAGCTGCGTAATTCCTCCGGACACGTCTCCGGCTCCGTGTGGATCAGCGCCGCGTCCTTCTCCGCTCCGGGGCTCTCGCCGGCGTCTCCTCCGGCCGTGGCCTTCCTCCGCTTCCCCCTCACGCTCCGGTAGATGATGAAGCCCGCCACCACCGACACCACGGCGATCACGGCCAGAGCGACGGCGGGCCCGTGGCGGCCGATCATGCAGAAGAGCGAGGCCAGGTCCATGCGCCTCTCCAGGGCCACGGTGTTGCCGTTTTTCAGCGACATCGGGGATGAGAACGAGGAGCGTCCGTCCTGTCCGGGCTGCGGTGCGACGTGTCCGTGTGGAGGCCCTGCTGCAGCCTGCTCTGCTCTCTGGGTTCCTCTCTGGGTTCCTCTCTGGGTTCCTCTCTGGGCTCCTCTCCACGTTTCCACCGCCGACTGACTCCTCGCTGCTTAAAGAGCTGCGAGCGGCTGCAGGTGCGAGCTGCTCATTGGCTGATTGGATCACGTGGACGCGAGATTCATTCATAAAAAAGGGAAACGAGCTCGTTCTGGTCCGCAGCCATCCCTGAAATGAGTGTTTGTCTCACTGACAGGATTGAATCCCATCTGATGAGATCAGCGTGGAGGAAACCAGCAGCGTGTTTCAGATGAAGATGATGAAGGGCCTCCTCATCCTCTCATCTCCCCCACGAGGCTGCCTGATGTCACTCCTGATAAAAAGAATGAACAGAAAAATAGAAATAAAGCAACCCATTATCTATGTGCGGCCTCTAGTGGGCGCCCTGCTGCACTGAGACAAACATTTACACAGAACATATAAGAAACATTTAAAAAACTGGAACAATAACTAGAAAGTCTTCATTTATATCCTCAAAGGCCCCAGATTGCATGAGATCTGTTTTCATGATGCTTCTGGAGTTAAGGAGCAAAGTCTGCACTGCTGAGTAACAGCGCCACCCAGTGGAGATCTGTACCAATGACCAGGAGCTTCCTGAACTCTCTGGACCTCCTTCAGTCGTTTATGCGACCTGTTTGGAAGCATTTATGTTTTGACAATAAAAATCATCAACGAATGATCATATATCAAACATCTGGTGTTTAGTAGGACAAGTTGGCATCAGATTATTTTAAAGAGCAAATTTTGTCATGCAACAGGAATAATCCAGAAACATCAGCACTCCTGGCCAACAGCGCCACCCAGTGGAGATCTGTGGCAATGACCAGAAACTTCCTGAACCCTCTGGACCTCCTCCAGTTGGGATGTAAAAGCTGGGACCGTCCCACTGCTGAGACACGAAGCAGCACAGACGAGAAGACAGACCTGAGCAGAGCTTCATCTCCCATCCAGAGGACTCCACAGTGGACTCAGTGAAGATGCTGTGCTCTCATGGACTCCAGTCTGCCCTCACTCCATCCATGGACTTCTACTGGCCTGTACTCAGTCTGTGGCCGGAGGTCAACCCTCTGGTCTACCAGGAGCATCTCCTGCACACAAACCTCCAGGAGCTGAGCAGCAGTCTGGAGCTGATGGACCAACTTCAACACAACGTCCTGGAGGAGACGGAGCCTTTCCAAAGCATCGTGGCCGTGCAGCCGGCATCCCGCCAGCTGGACACAGAGGGAGGAGAGCGCTTTGCTGTGACCCTGGACACTCAAGGTTTCTCCCCAGAGGAGCCGTCTGTCAGGCAGGTGGGCAGGAAGCTGAGGGTCAGCGGGAAGACGGAGAAGAAGCAGGAGGACGGGAACGGGTGGATGTTCCTGAAGGGCTGGACCCTGAAGCCGTCAGCTGCTGCCTGTCTCCAGACGGGAAGCTCCACATCCAGGCAGCCAGAGCTCCATGTGCAGAGGAGGCTGAGAGGGAGCTGGCTGTCAGGAGGAGCTGGGAGGAGAAAACACAGCAGAGTGTGTGTTCACAGGCACAAGACAGCAGCTCACAGGACACACCTGGAGACATGGACTGGTCCAGACTGGATGCTGTGGTGCCACTGAGACGTCAGTGTTTAAACAATGGTCACGTGTCCGTTTGTGTTTCTTTTCATTCATGATTATAATTTTTTTTTAAATGACAATACAAAAAAAATCATTTTGACTGATGTTTAACGATGATCTTGTAATATTTAGCATTTTTAGAGCTGATTTTAATTAATAAAAAATAAGTTATCAGTTGATCCATGGTTTTGTTGTGTTTTTAATAGTCCATCCATCATCTCTACACCTTCATCCTCACCAGGGTCATGGGGGGCGGAGCCTATCCCAGCTGACTCAGGGTGAAGGCAGGTTCACCTGGACAGGTAACCAGTCTATCACAGGGCTACACTTAGAGACAGACAACCAAGCACACTCACATTCACACCTACGGACAATTTAGAATCACCAATTAACCTCAGCATGTTTCTGGACTGTGGGAGGAAGCCGGAGAACCCGGAGAGAACCCACGCTGCACGGGGAGAACATGGAGACTCCACGCAGGAAGATCCCGGGTGTCCTCACCGGGACGCCAACCGGTGACCTTCTAGCTGTGAGGCGACGGTGTTAACCACTGAACCACCTGCAGCCTGTTGTAAATAGTCACAAATTTCAAAGTAAGAGTTTGTATTATTTATACATTTACATAAAATATTAAATTGTGATTATTCTGTTTTTACTTTACTTTTGTCTTAATGTTTAACATTTTGGCCAAATTCATTATTTTTTCTAAATTACTTTGACACCAACTGTTTTAATCTGGATTTATTGCATTTACAGTAAAGTTACTTCAGGTTTAGATTGGATTTGATTAGCTGCAGACTTAATGCATTTTTTTTTGTTTCAACCCTTTTTCTCTTTTCTTTTTTACAGACGTGCAAATAAGAAAGAAAACAACTAGTTTCAGAGATGGAGTAACGCGTGTAGTTGCCCATTACGTCCACTAGGTGTCACATTTAATCCGGTAACCAGCTCTAGTGACTCTGTCACTGGACTGTCCCTCTGCCTTCAGATCCAAGTTGAAAAGCTCCTATACCCAATGATCTAGCTGCCAAATGATAACGAGCACTGAAGCCCCTCTGGAGGTACTTTATGATTTTCAAAGTATGAAGAAAAAGAGTTTTTCTCTGGTGTAGGAGCCCAGATTTTCTCCGGTTGCGGTGATGCCAGGCGGCTCTAAGCAGCATGTTCACAACGCAGCTTTGTCGTGTGATTGGTTCCTCCTCAGTAACAGTGCAGAAGTGATGAGGAGAAAGAAAACTGGCGTGATGAGGTCTGAACTAACTCTCCTGGGATCCAAACACTCTGTCACCACCCCAAAAGGAAAAATCCAGAAAACAAAGAAAACAAAGAAAGCAGCATCAGCCAAGGTACAAATTTAGCACAATGAAGCACCATTAGAGCCCTCCTGCGTTTCCTTCTCTTCCCTCACATTGTTGGTAGGTTCATGTCAGCCACGGCTGCTTGGTCTCTCCTTGGCTCCCGCCAGGCTGTCAGGGCTTTTTCTTTCCTAAGAATAGATGGATTTGCCCCGTAAACGTGGCAGAAAACAGAGCTGGAGGAGGAGAGGAACTTTCTTCAGGGACTCGCTCGGTCGTTGTGTCGTTTGCTATTCGTGGAGCTGCTCTTTGTTTTCCATGCTGACACAATGTTTATTCAAAGGATCTTTAAATATCAGAGGTCTGTTCTCCCCAGCTTCCCTCCATCCCTCCCCTCTTCAGGCCTCCGTTCATCTCCTATCGTGTCTCCTCTGGTCGTGTTTTCATGGGATCACACTTCCTCCTCTCCCTCTGTGGGTCCTTCACTGCCTTCTCCTTGCAAGATGCTGCGATTTGGCACCACATGGGAACGTTTACTGACTCCTTTGCTTCTCCGTCCCTCCAGGGCCCTCTCCCTCCACATGCTCCTATATCATCCTTCGTTTCTAAAATTTCACCTCCTTTCCTTCCTCACATTCACTGCCTCCACATTTTTCCCCTCTTCCAACCCTTCCACTCATTTCCTCGGTCGTCGCAGACGCTTTAATTGACTCTTAATCAACAGGGTGTGTTTGAAGCAGACAGCTTTTATTGCTGTTACAAAAGCCCATGAGTCAGTCTCGCATGTCTAAATGTAAAAGTGTGCGGCTGTCTGTGGCTGTTTATGCAAACAGAGAAGCCAGTTCGTAGTTATAAGAGAAAGCAGGTATTGACTGGATGTTCTAAAGGCTCCTCCAACGTCTAAAACTTTTTCAAGAATGTTTTCTTTAGGATTCGTATTATTTTTCTCTAAATTTTTAAGTAAACTTGTGTTTTCTTGACGTGCACACAAAGCTTTGGTTGTACCTAAACCTCCTGGAAACATGCAGGAAAACAGGAACGCTGTGACGCCACTGCTTTGCCATCTGATGACCGACATCACACCTCATAAAGCCGCCGGTGTGGACGTGTTGCAGACACTGTTACATGAACAATAAAACAATTTCACGAGGGCTGTTTTCTTCATAGCACCACAGTCTTCTGGATTATTTTCCATTTTGTTGCCACCAATTCAAAAACAATCTTTACGATCATCATGAATGAATCAGGAATCACAGTGCACATGTGTTAAACAAGGATCCAACAGATAAAGTTTTTGGTTCTAAACGGTCGTCACTTGTGGAGATTTGTGACCAAAAATAACTCAGATGGCTTCATGATCATTTTATCTTTAGATTTTTAGCTTGACTTGAGGTTTCACATTTATTCTAGAAAATCTGTGGAAGAGGTGAGTGTTGATGAAACATCCAGGTGTAGCACTCAGAAAATCACATCTACGTCTTTTCCTAAATGTTCTTCCTTGACCTTGTTGACCACCATCATGAGATGAAGGAAAGATGTCTTGCAGAATTTTGAAGGACACTAGATGGCGCTGGACTTTGAATTCTGCAGTGAATTGTGGGTCGGCATTGTCTGGACCGGCTCTTATCGTACCGTCACCTCCATACTTCCAGGTCATTTCACTAACTCAGGAACCTTCGTAGGCAAACAAGACAAATGCATCCAGGGTCTGATGAAACCTCGATCGATGTGCACACGGGGAATGTAGGCTACGGCGTTTTGGTGGTCTAACAGTCAGGACACTGTGGCTCCTGCTGCACAGGTGTTCTTGTAAGAGTTTCCCGAAGTCTGTTAAAAATCCTTGTGTCTTGTGTTTGAATAATTTCTTGTACAACAATCCTGGCAAAGCAGCCAAAACCAGGAGAAAAAGGCTTAGAGTGAGAGAAGATCTGCGTCATAAGAGAAGAAACCATGATGTTGAGGATCTGAGCTGGCTCCGATCAGGAACCACCGACACCGCCAACAAACTCCAACCAGTCTCTTCCTCAGATGTATCAGGGCTCCTCTGTGGGTCCACTGTTCAAAGGGATTTTGAACTTTTTACTGTAATTTTTTAACATTTTTGTTTCATTGGTACATCAACGGGC